AGAACTGCCCGGTAAACCGTAGGCAGAGAGGGAGAAGAGCACAACAAACGAGGGGCTGTGACAAACTGTTTCGTCGGAGTTTCATATTGACATCAGTCAGAACAGCAAACACACACACACACACACACACAGTCAAATGATATAATAAAGAAGAGCACTTTGCCCACAGTCAAATAGTAAACACACAGTCATGATCATGAACTCGAACAATCAAGAACAGTTGTCAACACAAGCCTCAGAGTCTAAGGAGCATTCCCTCCTGGAAACATGCCTGTGCTACGAAACCATGGACTGCTGATCACACGCGAATTAGTGACATGCCAAAGAAGCACAGGCATGGGACCAAAAGGGCCCTGCCCACTTATCTAACATACATATAATGGAATTGACGAATCAAAGGGCTTGATTTCTGATATTCAAGTTCTCCTACTTCCTTGCCAGATCTCTGAAGGGGGAGCCATTGTCAAATGTCGTCATGACACGCCATCACTCTGTTTTTCGTCATGTCACTCGAGACTACCCCAAAACTGAAAAAAGCCAGAGACGCTCAACCTGGAACGAACGAACTTGACCTCCACTCTGAGCCATGAATTGCCCCGACCCTGGTACTGTTTCTCCGCCGAGGTCGCCCATTTGAATCCGTGCTTTGCATGCAGGAGGTCTCAGGCCCAGATGTGTGGATCGCCTCGACCTTGGTACTGTCTCTAGGCCGAGGTCGCCGCTTCGAACCTGCGCTTGCATGGAGGAGGTCTCAGGCCCGGATGATCCTAACTACTACTGTCTCTAGCTTCGAGCCATACGAACACACAATATGAAGGCTCAGTATCCTCAGACACCATAACGGAAAACAGCGGCCCCATACACTCAACCCTAAGCCACAGGCCTCTCGCATCTCAACCCTAAGTTCAGCCTTTAACACTTCACTGCAGTCATTTAGACCCTGAGGAGGGCTAACGGCAAGCCTTAAGCGCCCTCCACAAATCCCCCCAAATCGCTCGAAAGCTCACGCACACTCATATACGACTGGCGGAAGAGAGCACTTTGGGTAACATGACTCCAGGAAAGGCGCGAAGCGCTCTAGAAATGACCAGTCGTATAAAGAACAAGGGAGGTGTCCTCATGAAGCTTGAAAATCACTCTTATGAACCCCTTCTTACCCCCCCGCTGCCCCCGGTCAGGAAAGATCCCGGAGAACCAGATGGCCGTCCTAATCTACCAACCAACAGAAAAGTTACAATAGCACAAACTTCTACACGCATGTAACACCACAAAACCTTGCTACTTTCCCAATCCACACACACACACACACACACACACACACACACACACAGAGAGAGAGAGAGAGAGAGAGAGAGAGAGAGAGAGAGAGAGAGAGAGAGAGAGANCACACACACACACACACACACACACACAGAGAGAGAGAGAGAGAGAGAGAGAGAGAGAGAGAGAGAGAGAGAGAGAGAGAGAGAGAGAGAGGGGTAAACCTTTCCACATCAGGAATGCCACAAATGTGACAAAGAGTCAAAGACTTGATTTCCGCCGTCAAGGTGAAAATCCTGGATCATTTACATTACATGCTACACTTCCAAGATCCATCCACCAGATGACCACTGGCACAGATTCAGAACCAGTATCACTAAGTTATCTCCATCATGGCCATTTTCTATTGTTGCACACACAGCCTCCTGATGCGTCGGTGAAAGTCCGACGAAACAGTCCGGCACAGTCATGCTTTTTTTGTGGAGTTCAAGGAGTTGTGTACAACGAACTGACAACACACACACGTACATGTGTGTGTGTGTGTGTGTGTGTGTGTGTGTGTGTGTGTGCAGACACAAGCAAACACCACATTACCTGCTCACACACGCACAAAGAAGTGCATGTACCATAGCTTTATTCCATTCCTGCTCCTCCTTCCCGTCCCATGCACATCTATTCCCTGTCTCGTTAGCCTAAAGTCTGCTTCTGCTTAACTGCTGCTGACACATGATCCGAAATGAAGTCAAAAGCTCTCGTCTCTTTCTTTTTCGCCGATTCTGCCGATACAAGCTGTGATGGGCCTGTTGGATCCCCCATGAAGTCTGAGTAGTAATCCCCTGCACCTGCCATGTTCATTCCCCCCAGACCTGTCTGGCCAACACCAGGCATCCCCATGCCCATGCCCACCCCGCCAAATCCCGACAGGTTACTGTTTCCAAACCCCCCAGCTGAGGTACCAGTGCCGACTGGTCCCACTCCGGGTGGGACGAAAGGCGCTGGGACAAAAGCTCCCCCAGTGACGAACTGTACTGGCACCAACCCTTGTGGGGTTTGATAAAACCCCACGCTCACTCCCATGCCCCCCGTTCCACCCCCACCCATCACTCCCATTGGCGGCATACTCATTGCACCACCTGCCATCTGAGGCGTTGCCACATTCATTGGCATTGGTTGAAGCGCAGCTACTGTTTGTCCAGCAGCGCCCCCTCGACCTGCACCGCTCCCTGGTCCCATTGGTCTCATCTGCGCTTGCTGCACTCCAAGCCCCTTGAATCCCCCCTCTGCACCCTCTGCAATAGCAGCAGTGGCCTTTCCCCTCGCACCCGCTCCTTCTCCATCGAGATCTATTCCCAACAACCCAGCTCCCGCCGCCTTAGTATTGCCATGAGTTCCTGCACGAGGAACCTGCGGCTTGTTTGGTGTTGGTGATGGCAGCGTGACGGAGTCCAGAGTTAAGTTACCAAACAAGTCAGCCATCGGATCGTCAGCTCCACCGCCTTTTGCGACTTGATCAGAGATGCCCATCCGTCCTCGCTGCAATGGCTTTTGCGTCTCTGTGTCAGGACCACCATCCATACTAGTCCTCGGTTCCGGGTCGCTGAAGCTCATTCCATCAAAAATACTGCCTCCTGCAACAGCATTGAGGTCACCTTGCAAGCTACCTTGCCCATTCACATCCAGTCCAGAGAACAGTCCCCCTGAATCCTCCGCCGATCTGCCAGATTCTCCCAGAGATATTGGCGCAGGTGACAGTTCGGCGGCACCTCCAAATGCCGATGACTCTCTATATGGCAAGCCCATGTCAGGTAAGAGGTCCTGTCCTAGAAAGTCATATGACTCTGCTGCTTGGGGAACACATGGGGCGACAGCATCTGAGGGATTGCGTCTCACTTCATCGTCCTTCTGCGAAGAACCCGTGTCAGACAAGGCATCCATACCGCTCAGCAGGTCGGGCTGACCCATGTCGATCAGAGAATCTTTTGGTGGCACCGCACCGGCGACAGCCGAGGGCTCGTGCGATTCCTTTTGATTTCCACTTGACTGATACTCGTCAGGCTGTTCAGGGGGGGTCAGCAACTCCAAGACCTTTTTGGCCCTGTCGCGGACAGATGCCTGAGGCAACGAAAGGCAGTCGACAACCGAGTTAGCATCATTGACAAAGTAGCTATGCACAGCTGCAGCACTGCGGCCGCCTTCTCTTCCCCGCCTCAACATCGCTTCTAACACGCACAAAGCCTTCAATCGGGACTGCCATGCATGAGTCTGCAGTTTTCGTTCAAGCGCCCTTGCCAGATGAGAACCATCTAATCGCTGGGAGCAGTTGATGAATTCCCGGAGAGCCTCTGTTGTCGGCTGCACTCGCACGCCTGCCGGATTTGTCATCTTCTCCACGAGCCTGTACTCCTCCAGCTGTACCCCTTCCGGTACACCCCCCATTCTCGCCCCTTCGCTCCCTGAGGGCGAGTCCTCCGCTCCTCGTACTCCTCGTGGGCTTGCCAACCCACTGACACCCCCAACCACGCCTGGCCTAGGGGATGCCCGGCTTGACCAATTGTCTCCAGATCGCCTTCCACCACTCCATTCTGCACCTCCCCTACTCTCTGCGCCACCAATGTCTTCCACACCTCTGTACCCCTCATACCCTCCTCTTCCATTATCTCCACCCCATCCTTCATCTCCAGCACTTCTCGAAGACAACGGCCGCCTTGCCCCCGATCGGTAAGTTGATGCAATGTTGCTCGCCACTTCTGCTGCGATCTCAAGCCCTGAACGGAAAGATGCGCTTCCCAAACCTATCATTCCGGACAGTCCACCTTGACCTCGTCGCCCTTCATCGCCAATCCCCCCCCCTTTCCCCATCCCCTCCCCCGCACTTCCGAACCCCTGTATTCGTTTCCCCAAGCCGCTCCCTCCCTCCACCGACCCCGCACCTTTCGGTGCTTCCGTAAACATTGCCTGGATCGCTGCATGAGCCGTGTCCCTCACAGCTTTGTTCAAAGCATCCCCACGGAGAGGATCGGGGTGCCCCCTGTAGTGAAATAGACCCCGAATGGTCGCCGAATGCCGCTGGATTTCTCTCTTGAATTCCGGACCGCCCTTTCCCACCGCAAACTTTATCACCCTTAAGGCCTTCTGCTTCACAACCGGCGATTTGTGATCCAGTTTTTTCATCAAATGATCAGTGATTTCCCTAACAACATCCCCTGGCGACGTGCGCAACAAATCGGAGATTTCCTCCAGCTTATAGACCGGAGCGATGTCATGGTCATCTGCTGTCGCTCCATCAATCAGCCTTGATCTCTTGAAAGCCTCCACTGCCTGCATCGTCATCTTCACCGCGGATTCGGGGGCGCTAAACATTTTGCCTGCCACTCACCTGACCACAAGTCGCAGATCCACCGACAACCTCTTGAACTTGCTACACACGATCAACCGGACGTTTGCCAGACTAAGATCTCTCGTCTATCCCAGTCGTCGCTCACCGAATCTCAATCAGATATCCTGGCAACGATAGCAGTGCTGCCTCTACAACATACTCCGCGACAATCCACGAAACCCCTTCCGCAGGTGCAAAAACATCACCTGTCCTGTGGACCCGACCACCTTTTCACAGCAGCGCTTGTGACTAGCAAAGTCAAGGTCGACGCTGCTTCCACAGTCTGTCTGAGACCCTTACCGAAAAGAACCATGAAGTTCCTTAGGCGGTCATTACTTCCTTAAGTTGCCGTCTTCTTCCTTAGGCGGTCCAGCTTTGCCGACACACCACATCCTAGTTTGAACCGGAACCTTGTATCGGAACTGGTCAGTATACAAACCCCTGCTGCAGGTGTGAAAACATCACCTGGCATGCATATACAGCCACCATTTTTCAGCAATGCTTGTGACTCGCAAAGTCAAGGTCGATGTTGCTTCCGCAGTCTGTCTGAGACGCTTACTCAAACAGTTACCCGTGAAGTCCCTTCGGTGGCCACTACTTCCTTCCTTGCTTGAAAGCACCAGTACATGGCCACGTGGGCCGCGGGTCTGATACTTACAAATTCTGGAGGTGCGAAGCGAAAAGACGGCCGCCTATCGGATTTATCAATGGAGGGGCCCAGCGTTTGACGTTTCGGCCTCGTTTCCTTGTGGCGACAAGTTTCTGACTGCAACGCTGGGGCCGTGTACTTGTGGTTTAAGTGGTCATTTTCGTCCTTAGGCGGTCCAGCTTGCCTCATCGACACACTTCCTCATTTGAAACCGGTTGGTATGCTTCACCGAAATCAAGAGAAAGAAAAAACATGCAGAGAGCATAGAATAATCTCATGCAATCATTGTGTTGCTAGCACTGGCCCAAACTTAGCACTTCGTCATCACAAACGAACGGCAGCTTCTTCTGGGTAGATCATTAAACCACCCCAACCTATCTCTACTGAGTAGGACCCGGGGGGTGGAGAGGGGGCCGCGGGAAAGGGGGAACAGCACTTAAGTCTAAACAATCCATGCATACTATTGTGTTCTTTGAACTTCTTTCACCTTTTGGACCTGTCAAGGACACCCTGGGAATAAGGAGCTTATCTGCATTTCTCAAAAAGGAAAGCAGTGTGTACCCAATGCAGAGTACCCCGCTGTAGTTAGGGAGGGATGGCCCGCTGCCTATGGATGGCACTATTGTACAGGATCCAACACCATAATAAGAGAGTACCTTCAGGACCCAGACGAACTACCGACATCGGGATACCAATCCACAGATGACATGTTAACAAACTATTCGATCGGCCAATAACAAATCCTCCTGGTCATTCTGATTAGGCCGGTGGGGTGATCACAATCGAGGTTGAAGAGACATGCAAGTGTACATTCGGTCAAACTGCGGGACAGACAAACAGACAGACAGACTGGCAGAACACCTCCACAGGGTGACGACATAGTTCATTTTTATGAACTAAGGTAACAATGCCCAAAACTTCAGAATAATGCCAGCCCTCCTCCCCTACAAAGCTCCTCTCTCTCTCTCTCTCTCTCTCTCTCTCTCTCTCTCTCTCTCTCTCTCTCTCTCTCTCTCTCTCTCTCTCTCTCTCTCTCTGTGCCTGCGTTCTTGTTCCCTGCCACACACACACACACACACACACACACACACACACACACACACACACACACACACACACAGAGTCACACACAGAATGAGGCCACAGTTTAAGTGAGAGATTGATATCAAAACAGGTTTTCAACTTTTCATGTAATTAGAGCATACAATTGTTAGTTTTTTATCAGAAAAGCAAAAAAGAAAAAGAAAAGAATGCAGTTGTTAGTGATGACCAGTGATCCATTCGCTAGGGGACTAGAGTTGTTCGGAGAAACAAATAAAATCTGTGTTGCATGTGGGATTTTAGGGTGGCATCACAGACACACACACACACACACACACACACACACACACACACACACACACACAGAGAGAGAGAGAGAGAGAGAGAGAGAGAGAGAGAGAGAGAGNAGAGAGAGAGAGAGAGAGAGAGAGAGAGAGAGAGAGAGAGAGAGAGAGAGAGAGAGAGAGAGAGCTACCACTAGAAAGAAAGGTATAGATGACCACTTTGATGCAGCAGCAACATATGCTACTGACATCTCTGCTTGTATTGGGAGGAAAAGTTGGACCTCAGGTTGTGTATATGGTTCTTCAGGATGTACCGCTCATTGTCAATCCTCTTCGGCAGCACACCTGTGATCCTCGGCCATACAAGCCTCTCGCATCTACTGTCCATATCTATATTAATTTTGTTCGCCTGTAAAAAGTTGTGTGGGATAGGGCCGAGGGAGGATGTCCAGCGGGAGGGTAGATGCGCCGAGTCTACCCAACCACATGGCGGAGTGGGCTTGCCCGCTACATAGGAGTATTAGGAGACACTCAAGGACAGGGCTCTCATCGAACCTAGACCACTTGTGAGACCACCACACACACAGGGGGGGATCGATCTCGGATCAACGCTTCCCGATCGTCAACAAGGCGGCGCAGCACAATCGAACTCAAACGTCAGGTCAAACCACCCCAAAGGCGACCTGGCCAGGAGACACCCATGTACCACTTTTGCCTTGGGGATTTTTAGGCCCCTTTGATCAATTTTTTTCCTTTCTACCGATTGCACATCTCTCACATTTTCGGCAAGCAACACTCACAGCCAAAAAATCTTAATACATAGTGGTACGAGAAGCGGTTAACAGAACCCTAATTTTTCTGGGTTTTTTTCGGGGTCATTATAACAAACGTCCGGCACCTTTTAAGCCAGACTTGTCACCAGTCCAAAGAGTGGACACCAAATAAACCAACATCATTTTCACCAGTCCAAAGAGTGGACACCTAGGTTGTTTTTCCGGGCGCCCGGGCACCCAACTTGTGCCCGGATACACGCCCGGGTGGCCGGCCGGGCATGACCCCCAGGCAGCCCCAGCGCAAAAAAAAAAAAAAAAAAAAAAAAACACGAAAGTCAAAAAATTCCCGAAAATAAATATGTTGTGTAGAATTGCAATACAAACAACTTTTGGCTGAGGGTCACATCACAATTCCTCACAGAATCGGAGATAAAAAAGAAAATAACAAAATCACACTAAAGGACCCCCCTTTAACCCCTCTTAGCCCCTTTAAAAATAATTTATACCCCACTTGACCCCCCTGACAGCCAGCTCTCAAAAAATGAAACGAGCCCGGATTCGGGTTCCTCTGGGAAAGCGCAGAAAGGCAAAAAAAAAAAGTTTTTTTTTTTTTTTTTTGCACGCCTGGGTGCCCGGCCGGGCATGAAAAACTTCCTAGGTGGACACCAAATAAACCAACATCATTTTTTATGTTGGTTTATTTGGTGTCCACTCTTTGGAGTGGTGACAAGTCTGGCTTAAAAGGTGCGGGACGTTTGTTATAATGACCCCGAAAAAAACCCTGAAAATTTAGGGTTCTGTTAACCGCTTCTCGAAATTGTGTGCTGAAATTTGCCGAGATGGTGCGTCGTTTGGTCTCGCAGATGTACGAGCAAAAATCAAAACTATCCTCCCACGGAGTCCTACCCTTCTCTACAGAGTCCTACCCTTCCCTCCTGAGTCCTACCCGTCTTTTTTTTTTTTTAAGAAGTTAGGCTTCTGCAGGGGCAATGCCAGTCTTCCCTGTATATTTCCAATTTCCACCGATGCCCCAAAGGACGCTCAAATCCCACCCTGATTCTCACTGAAAATAGGTTTCTGAGTGGTTTTGCAGAAACAGACAGACTGACAGTCGTTCTTGGCAGGGCTTTGAACCAACAGTCTGCTAGGGGATTGCAGGCGTGGGTTGGCGTGAGGAAAGTCGACCGCTTCTCTCTCTCTCTCAAGGGTGGGTATGGCTAACCCTGGGTTGGCGATGTCGTGAGTCCTCGTACATCCGTCAAATGCATCCTGGGCAGACTGTCGGGGTACAACCTGCTGATGAGTCGGTGAAAGTCCGACGAAACAGTCTGTTCAGCACAGTCGTGCTTTTGTTTTTGTGGAGTTGTGTCCGCCGATCATGGCCGGAAACAACACGGCCTCGGGCCTTGCTAAGCTGTCCGTTCAGGCGGATCCATGCGGCTAGGGTCGGGACCGCACTGGAGGCCACGCCTTTGGGTATCCATGGCTGAGTGGGTCTGTGGAGTGGGTTGTATGTCTGCGACAGATTAGTTATAAGGCTTACTGCCGTTCTTGTCAGGGGTCTGGACCGGCAGTCTGCTAGGGTTGCAGGGTTGGTGTGAGTAAAGTCGACCGCTTTTCTCTCTCTCAAGGGTGGGTATCACTAACTCTGGGGGACGTGCCCAGTCCTTATCCATCAGTCAAATGATGCATCCTGGGCAGACCAACAGGGTTCAACCTCCTGATGAGTCGGTGAAAGTCCGACTGAACAGTCTGTCACAATCATCCTTCTTTTTGAGAAGTTATACATACCGAACAGGACAACACAGTCATGTCTTTTCTGTGCAGTTGTGTATAGCGAACACACACACACACACACA